AAAAGTTGTGAACATTTAATTTCTATACTGAGAGACAATATCTTATTCACATACCGTTATTTGCGCGACGTACAGCGGCAACACAAGCAAAACTAAATAATATGGCAGATGCATGATCGAGAAGTGGTGGGATGTGGAAATCGCTGTATCCTATTCGAAAAATATTTTTAGCAGACAACCAATTCAATGAAATGATATTTGTCGCACTAACAGAGAGAGCCGCTTTTATGCATTCCGGTAAGCCATATGATCTATGACCATCACAGAAATCACATCATAGAAGCCTAATCTATGACCATCACAGAAATCATGATCTATGACTATGATCTATGACCATCACAGAAATCACATCATAGAAGCCTAAGTGTAATCACAGAAGCCTAATCTAATCTTTTCGTATAATTATTTTGATTTCATTACATTCTAAATTTTTTTGTTTGCTGTATTGAATAATAATAGTTTCATTGAAGTGCGATTATAAACGCTGTATCACAGCTCTGAATTTGTCACCAAATCATTTCAAATCGAAATAGAATGAAATCATTCGAAGAGTATAGACAATAATCCAATGTTTGATTATCACAGCGAAACGATGGAGCATTGCTATTATAAAAATTTAAAATTGAAGTTAGTTGAAATTATTAAAATTCAAATTAATTGAACTTGAAATTTCTAACCATTGTTTTCATAAATCCTCGCCACCGCAAACAGATTATCAAAGGATTCAACAATCCATTTCTTTAAATTTTATCGATCAAAATATTTGTTTTATCACTGGTTTGGAATGACCGAAACAAAAACTGAATGCATTTTTTCAAATTGGTCGTTTTAAAAATTTGCTTTCATCAATTTACAATTTTTTCAACCTCTATTAATTTATCATTTTAACTTTTCTTATATACATTATTATCAACATATTAAATTTAATCATTTAACCTCCACTTTTTCTATTATTGATTGCTCCTCAATTGAATGTCTTATTCGTTGATGTAAAATTTCCTTCCATGCCATAAGGTATGTTGAAATGTTTCAGTGAAATTTACAATTTCAACATTTGATTGGAAAAACTACGCTGATGAAATTCGATATTTAAATGTTGTTATACTATTTTGTTTTGCAGAAAAATTGCCGAAAATACTTTTGCATAGAATTTGTCAACGGAAATTCTATGAATTGAATCAAATACGAAATTTATTTGATAAAAGCTACTACCATTGTATGCATTATACAATCATATTTGGAAAGATTCATCTTTGACCTCTTTGTTTGTAGGAATTTCTGTGCAGATCAACGTTGATTGTAAATAAAGAATGAAATATTTATCAAACTTTCCAATCAATCTTTTACATTTTAGTTGAATAAAAGCAAAGTTAATCAAAGAAACGAACTGATTGATTCGTTGAAAAACGTTGAAATTGCATATTTTTCCTACTGATTTTGATGAATTTTTGTTGTTAGCAAGCAAATTGCCACGCTAAGAAAGAATAAGTTTATGATAGAATATGGTGATTTCGTTTGAATCGACCGATTGAATAATTGATAGCTCTATGATGCTTAAATTTTCTTTGAAAATTAGAAATTATTTTTAAGTACTTATTTTCGGCCTTTACGAAATGGAACGATCGTGTCAAACACTTTTTAATAGAATCGTTTTTCAGACATGTCTACTGGGCAATATGATCGTGACAATAGCGCAAAAATGTGAGGAATTAGAGTGCGATACCACGAATGATAGGCTTTCAGAAGATCATATCCTAGAAATCACATTCTTGGAAAATGTTATACAATATTTTTTAAAAGGCAACAAATTTTCTTTTCTTTTGTTTGCAAAAAAATATTTCAAACTTCGAAACATTTTCCCAAAAATAACTTGATTTAAAAAATTAAGCGAGTAAAATCGTGATGATAATTTTGAGCCACAAAATAAATTATTCTAACAAAAAATAGAAATTTTATTTTTGCTAGAAATTGACATTTATACCATTTAGATAAACTGCAATGAAGTAATTAAGTAATTAATGCAAAATATTCCACATAAATCATGCAATTATTAAAAATGAATTTGAATGATAAAAAAATTTGTAAGAAACATAAGCATCTGAATTATTGCAAAGGAGCGATAAAAATTTAAACGAATCGTTAATGATGGAAAAATATTGTTGCTTTCTTGATAACAGCAATAAACATTAAAACTACATATAGGAATAACAATACTTATTATTTCATTTTTTGTGTTGAAGATAGATTCAGCCATTGTTGAAATTCGAAATTCAAAATTTCACATGCAACTTTATCAATCATATTTGACATTCATTCGGGAAATAGTGAGCAAAACACAAACGGCAAATAAAAATTAGTACAATATAACTAATAAATATAATACAATACAATTATTTTTTATACTCCAGTGAATGGAATTATTTCATTAATTAATATTTGTATATCAGTGATCTTATATCGATGTTATTAAGGAGCTTACTGTAGAATATAGCTTTTTGTCCGAATTTTCATGCATTTTCATGTGTCTATTCAAGTTACGTTTCTGAGTGAAATTCCTACCACATATTTCACATTTGAATGGTCGTTCGTTTCCGTGCGTCAATTTGTGTCTCTTCAGATTTCTGGATTCTTTGAATGTTTCATTACACACGTGACATTTGAATGGTCGTTCACTTCCGTGCGTCATTTGATGTCTCTTCACATTGCTAGACCATTTGAATGTTTTATTGCATATCTCACATTTGTAATTTCTTTCATCGTTATGTATCATCTTATGGTACATCAGAGTAGAAGAAAATCCGAATAGCACACCGCATACCTCACATTGGTACTGTTTTACATTTGCTTCACTGCTATTAGTAACAATTTCTATTTTGCCCTCATTTTCTTGTATTGGCTGATCGTTTGATAGCTGAAATAACCCAAAACCATTTTTTTACAGTTGGCTTATTGTTTCCCTGTGAGTTTTGGACAGTAATAATCAGAAATAGTATGAAGATATCATTGTAGAATCTTTGAATGGCAACTATTCACTTCTGTATTTTAAAAATAGTTAAATTGCAATAATAAATTGATAAAAAAAGTGTACTTACCCTATATTGTGCTGTTAATTTGAGGTAGAAGGATTAAAGGACCGTTCGATGTAACAAAAATGATCAAAAAAAGATCAAAATTTTGTGAATGCTTAATTTCTATACTGAATATCTTATTCAGTATAGAAATTAAACAAGGCAATATCTTATTCACATACCGTTATTTGCGCGACGTACAACGGCAGCATAAGCAATACCAAATGACACGACAGACGCATGATCGAGAAGTGATGGGATGTGGAAATCGCCGTATTCTATTCGAAAAATATTTTTTGCAGACAACCAATCCAATGAAATGATATTTGTTGTATTAACAGAGAGAACCGTTTTTATGCATTCCGGTAAGCCGCACGATCTATGACCAAATATAATTACAAAACCACAGTCTTCCAACAATAATTTTCACTTCACTACACTCCAAAATTTTCCATTTGCTTTAGTGAATAAGTTTTCTTTGTATAAATCCTGCAACAACAAACAGATTTTCAATGAATTCGATAATCCATTTTTTTTAATGTTATCGATTAAAATATTTGTATTATCATTGGTTTGGAATAACCGAAACAAAAACGGTCTTTCCAAATATTTACTTTCATCAATTTGTCATTTCAACTTTCCTTATATACATCATTATCATCAACTTATTAAATTTAATTATATAACCTCCACTTTTTTGTATTATTCCTAAATCCTCAATGGAATGTCTTATTCGTTAATGTAAAATTTGCTTCCATGCTATAACGTATGTTGAAATGTTTCAGTGAAATTTAAATTTCAACATTTTATTGGAAAAACTACGTCGATGAAATTCGATATTTAAATGTTGTTATTCTTTTTTATTGTGTAGAAAAATTGCCGAAAATACTTTTGCTAAATTTAATCAAATATGAAAATTTATTTGATAAAAGCTGCCATTGTAAAAAAAAAAGTAAGAGAAAATAATAGATCAGAATCTCGTTCTTGAAATTCAGATATCAACTCATCAAACTCATCATACTCACCAGAAGTTCATCAAAAACTCATCAAACTCATCAAGCTTATCAGAAGGAAACTCATCAGTCATCATTATTCGCTTAATGAATATGTTCAACTATCAATTTCAGGAAGAATTCTATTGGTCATCTAACGAGACACATCTTAGTTGCTTCTTTGATCTACGTTAGAGGCAACCTCAGTAATTTTGGGATAGAATAATATGATTGAGTTTGAATCCACATATTGAATAAATAATAGCCATCTATGGGACCTAAATTTTCTTTGAAAATTAGGAATTATTTTCCAGTACTTTTGGCCTTTACGAAACGAAACGATCAATAGCGTCAGTACACGAATATTTATCGTAACCGATGGTACTGCAAAAGTATTTTAGTCATAATGTCGTACTAATTTGCTTGGATAGAATTTAGTGCAAAACGATTGGACTAACAAAAAATTATAATGAGAATTTGAAAAAAAGAAAAAAACTTCAATCTCTTGTTTATGGTTTGATTTTTTGAATTAAATTTTTAGAACTGATCGGAGCAATCGTTATCATTGAATGAACGACTTCCTGTATATTCATCAAAGTATCATTCAATTCTTTTTATCTCTTCTCTTTTGCTTTAAATAATTGAAATTTAAAAATAGATCACACTATCAGTAAGTGTCTACAATCGTTAATGATGGAAAAATATTGTTGCTTTCTTGATAACAGCAATAAACATTCAAACTACATAAAGGAATAACGATACTTACTATTACCTTTATTGTGTTGAAGATAGATTCAGCCATTGTCGAAATTCAAAATTCAAAATTTTGCATACAACTTTATCAATCATATTTGACATTCAATCGGGAAATAGTGAACAAAACACAAACGGCAAAAATTAATTAGTACAAATATAACTTAAATCAATACAATGCAATCATTTAAAGTTTTGCAAATCCAATTATTCCCTTTATAAATATTTCTGTGTCAATGATATCGTCTGCTATCGATATCATTAAGGAGCTCACTGTATAAAATAGATCTTCTTCCGAACTTTTATGTATTTTCACGTGTCCCTTCAAACATCCTCTTGCAGTGAGATTCCTATCACACATTTCACTTTTGAATGGTCGATCGTTTTCGTGCGTCAATTGGTGTCTCTTCAGAACGCTGGAGTATTTGAATGTTTCATTGCACACGTGACATTTGAATAACTGTATGCTTCCGTGATTCAATTGGTGTCTTTTCAGACTGCAGGAGTCTTTGAATGCTGCACTGCACAAGTGACATTTGAATGGTCGTTCATTTCCGTGCGTCAATTTGTGTCTCTTCAGACCGTAGGAGTTTTTGAATGTTTTATTGCACACGTGACATTCGAATAGTCGCTCGTCTTCGTGCGTCAATTTGTGTCTCTTCAGACCGTAGGAGTTTTTGAATGTTTTATTGCACACGTGACATTCGAATAGTCGCTCGTCTTCGTGCGTCAATTTGTGTCTGTTTAGATATCTGGATCCTTTGAAAGTTTCATTGCACACCTGACACTTGTATGGTCGTTCGTTTCCATGCGTCAAATAGTGTTTCTTCAGGACGTCGGAGTATTTGAATGTTTTATTGCATACGTGACATCTGAATGGTCGTACATTTCCGTGCGTCAATTTGTGTCTCTTCAGATTGCCGGACCATTTGAATGTTTTATTGCATATCTCACATTTGTAATTTTTTTCATCGATATGTGTCATCTTATGGTTCCTCAGACTAGTTGAACGTCCGAATAACACACCGCATACCTTACATTGGTACCGTTTTTTGTTTGCTTCACTGCTATTAGCCACAATCCTTATTTTGCCCTCATTCTCTCTCTCTTCTTTTATTTGCTGATCGTTTGATACCTGGAATAACCCAAAATCGCTTATAGTTGGCTTATTGTTTTCTGTGATTTTCAACACTAATAATCCGAGGTATTGTGCAGATATCATTGTAGAATCTTTGAATAGCAATAAGTTACTTCTCTATCTTAAAAATAGCTCGGTGAATTGCAATAACAATTTGAAAAAAAGTGTCATTGTACTATATTATGACTGTTGACTTGAGACAGAAAGATTAACAGACCGATCGATGTAACAAAAATGATTCAAATTGTGATTCAATGCACAAATTCTAGCATTTCATTTTGATTTTTGCAATAAAATATGGCCGCAAAGCATCGTTTGTTTAGAAGTGAATTTTCCTTCACAAGAAGTAACTGTTTTCTGTCTTTAGCTAAGATAAAAAATTTTGTGAGTATTTAATTTCTGCACTGAGAGACAATTCACATACCGTTATTTGCGCGACACAAAGCGGCAACACAAGCAATACCAAGTAATATGACAGATACATGGTCGAGAAGTGATGGAATGTGGAAATCGCCGTATTCTGTTCGGAAAATATTTTTAGCAGACAACCAATCCAATGAAGTGATATTTGTCGCATTGACAGAGAGAGCCGCTTTTATGCATTCCGGTAAGCCGTATGATCTGTGACCATATGTAATCACAAAAGCCTTGTCTAATCTTTTCGCATAGTAATTATGATTTTATTACATTCTAAAATTTTTTGTTTGCTGTGTTGAATAATAATAGTTTCATTGAAATGCGATTATAACCGCTGTATCACAGCCCAGAATTTGTCACCAAATTTTTTCAACTCGAAACAGTCGAAGAGTATAGACAATAATCCAATGTTTGATTATCATCAAAAAACGATGAAGCATTGCTATTATAAAAATTTAAAGTTGAAAGTTATCTGAAATAATTAAAATTTAAATTAATTTATCTTAAAATTTTTGCGCATTCTTCGTATAAATCCACGTCACCAGCAAACGGATTTTCAAAGCAATCAATAATCTATTTTTTTAAATGTTATCGATTGAAATGTTTGTATTGTCGTTGGCATGGAACAACCGAAACAAAAACTGAATCCTTTTTTCAAATTAGCGTTTTAAATACTTACTTTCATCAACTTATCATTTCCGCTTTTCTTATACGCATTATTATCATCAACTTATTAAATTCAATTATATGACACATATTTCACACTTCAATGGTAATTCGTTTTCGTTGTCAATTTGTGCCTCTTCAGATTGCTGGATTCTTTGAATGTTTTATTATATG